TAACTAGAAGCCACCGCCGTTGCGAGTTACCTTGTGACTAATTTTTAATTTTCTTTGGAATGGGATACCACAAAAATTTTCCAAAACGAGTCCTTTTATGAGATGCCTATTCTGATAAATCATTGATGGAAGGTGAACACAGGGTTTGGATTTAGGGTGACGAAAAAGCGTTAACTTATATCTCACCGACATGTTAATTATTAGCCGAGTGCGGCGACAGCTTTATACCAGTGAAATCGATTGAATAGACAAATGAAAGAAGATACAACCATAAATGAATCTTAGAATAAATGAATCCCAGTTTGCAACTCACCTTTACCAAACGTTAAATAAGTCATAAATGGAATGTAGGATACAATCATGAACAGCGCAGAAAATTCCATGCTTACTAAAAGACAACGGTCTTTTATTAGGTGGTTTAATTCAACCTGTTTTAATGAAAGATGGCATTTTATGAAGCTTAAGTCAACAAAGTTGGCGGTTGTCATTTCTCGCCTTATAAGGGTATTGAGGTAAATAAAATAACGAATTCAATCATAAATTTTGCGACTTAGAACCTCTTTGACGATTTTGTTTCGGTCGATAGAAAGATTCAGGACTGAGGGAATACAATTTGATTTTAGCAGATATATTTGATGTCGCAATTTTTACTGCGAGTTACGTTGTAAATATATCCTCTAGAAAGTCAAATAAATGACAGGTGAAAATATTCTACCCCCGGCAGGGCAAGCAGACACCTGGCCTGAAGCTCATTTAGATATTCCTTCAACACATTCAAAATTCATAGGATCAGACAGGCATATTCAGAGCATTTTTCTTTTCTTCCTACAGAGAGATAAAATATCTTTCTTGAATGGTCGTTTTATTAATATATAGCGTCCGGCAACTTCGCTCATGAAATAAACATATCTTCTAATTACGAGTCTATTTTAGTAGAAGTGTAATTGACAGATGATTCCATGTTCCTGTTGGAAGTCCTTGGTTTTGTATAAGATAGTTTAGGATTTATCAAATCTCCCACGTTACTGTGAATTGATCATCAGCTTCAATTGGCTGTATAGACAGAACTTACCGTGGCTCTCCTCGAAACAGGCCGTGTCCTTAAAAAACTGAAAATTCCCTAAATCGACTAGGCAACGAGTGACTACCTTCGCATGGCGTCTCAATAAATACAAGATGGATTAAAAAAAGGGAAATCTTTGAAAAGTGTTGTGAGAAGTGTCATTTTTGGTCACGAGAATTTGATGCACATTAAGCTTCTGTTTTTCAAAGTTCGTAGCAATGTCCGACACATAAAACGTTATCCTATCACGTTTCGGTATTTCGACGGCATTATCCTCTTTTAAAGCAACCAGGATCTGATCAACAATTCCAGCTGATAAGTTTTGAATTTTTATTGTCCCTCTCCTCAAAAATATATTGTTTTTTGTCATCAACATTGATCTAAACTGCTCACTTTCCTTTCAGGTTTACGTCATGATCTTACTGATGCCCTCTGTTTTGTCAGTGTCGTTAGGCTGATCCTGACAAAAAGCGCTTTGAATTAAGGTGCAGGGATGAAGGAGTGATTAAGGTGTGAGAGAAGTGCAGGCCTAATGGTTGAACTTCATGGCAAACAGTCGGGGCTCAAACGCTGGTAAGGGTCTTTGCGTTGAGTTCTTGGGACTTACAATTCCTCTCTCAACTCGAGGTTACAATACCTTACGATACCTCTCTCAACGGAAAGTTACAATACCTTACAATACCTCTCTCAACTAGTAGTTACAATACCTTACAA